AAAGTAGAAGCTAAAGACTTCATGAGACATTAAGAAAATAATAAAACAAAGGTGAAAGTATGAACAAAAGAATAGAAGAAAATATGAAACATCTTATTGGACAAACAATTGACCAGGAAAACAGATTGAGGAGGGATAATTTAAGAATTATTGGACAGCCTGAAAGCTAAGATCAAAGAAAGAGCTTAGACATCACATTTCAAGAAATTGTCAAGGAAAACTGCCCCAATACCCTAGCACCATAGGAGAAAATAGAAATTGAAAAAAAAAATCTAGTGATCATGACCTGAAGGAGGTCTCAAAATGAAAGCTCTTAGGAATATTAGAGGCAAATACCACAGCTCCACGGTCAAAGAAAAAATACTTCAAAGTAGTCAGAAAAAAACTGTATCAAACATCATTCAGATATCACAGTCAGGATCACCCAAGATTTAGCAGCCACCATGCTAAAGGAATGGAGGGATGGTAATATAACATTCTGGAAAGCAAAAGAACTAGGATTACAACCAAGAATACCTATCCAGCAAAACTGAATGTAATCCTTCAGATGGAGGAAAAGGATATTTAATGAAATAGAGGACTTTCAAGAATTCCTAATGAAAAGATCAGAGCTGAATAAAAAATTTGACTTCCAAATGCAAGCCTCAAGAGAAGTATAAAAAGGTAAACATGAAAGAGAAATCATAAAGAACTCAATAAAGTTAAATTGTTTATATTACTGTATGAAAACATGATACATGTAACCCCTAGGAAATTTATCAGAGTACTTAGAAGAACTTATTATGTTGGAATGATCTAAAAACATGAAGGAGTGAGAAACAATATATTGGGAAAAGGGGGGGGAAGAAGAGGAAGAATGAGGAAAATCATATCATATAAAAGAGGCACATGAGGAAGGTAGCCTCACAATACCAGATTTCAAAGTCGATCACAAAGCAGTAATCATGAAAACAATGTGGCACTGGCTAAGAAATAGAGTGGTCGATTAATGGAATGATTAGGTACACAGTACACTGTAGTGAGTGACCATAGCAATCTAGTGTTTGATAAACCAAAAGATCTAAGTTTTTGTGAAATAACTCACTATTCGATAAAAATTTCCAGGAAAACTGGAAAGCATTTTGAAAGAAACTAAATATAGACCAACATCTTTAATCATATGCCAGAATAAGGTCAGCATGGATAAATGATTTAAACAGAAAGGGTGTAAATAAATTAGAGGATCATGAAAAAATTTACCTGTCAGATCTTTGAATAAGGGAAGAGTTTATGGCCAAACAAGAGATAGAGAGGATCACAGGAAGTAAAATGGATATTTTTGATTATACAAAATTAAAAAGGGTTTCACAAACAAAACTAATGCAGTCAAGAATTAGAAGAAAAGCAGAATACTGGGAAAATTGTTTTACAGCAAGTTTCTCTGAGAAAGTCCTCTTTTCTCAAATGTATAGAAAATTAAGCAAAATTTATATAAAAAAGATAAGAACTATTTCCCAATTGAAAATTGGTCAAAGGAGTACAATCCTTCAGGGGAAAAATGGATATTCAGTAAGATAGAGGACTTTCAAGCATTCTTGATGAAAAGACCAGAGCTGATTAGAAAATTTGACTTTCAGATGCAAGACTCAAGAGAAGCATAAAAAGGTAAACAGCAAAGGGAAATTATAAGGGACTTAATCAGGTTAAACTATTTACCTTCCTACATAGGAAGATGATATTTGTAACTCATAAGACCTTTTTCATTATTAAGGTAGTTGGAAGGAGTATATATAGACAGAGGGCACTGATGTGCATTCAGTATGGAGGGATGATATCTAAAAAATAAATTAAAGGGTGAGAGAAAAATGCACTGGGAGAAAGAGAAAGGGAGAGGTAGAATGGGGTAAACTATCTCACATAAAAGAGGCAAGAAAAAGCTTTTACAGTGGAGGGAAAGAGGCAGGGAGGTAAGAGGAAGTGAGTGAACCTTACTCTCATCAGAACTAGCTAAAAGAGGGAACAACATGCACACACAATTATTGGGTATAGAAATCTATCTTACCTTATGGGAAAGTAGGAGGGGAAGGGGATAAGAAAAGGGGGAGTGATAGAAGAAAGAGTGGTTTGGGGGAAAGGGTAGTCAGAAGCAAAACATTTTTGAGGAGGGACAGGGTGAAAGAGGAGAGAGAATGGAATAAATGGGGTGGGGGAGGAAATAGGATGGAGGGAAATACAGTTAGCAATAGTAACTGTGAAAAAAATTTTTGAAGCAAATTTCTCTGATAAATGCCTCATTTCTCAAATATGTAGAGAACTGAGTCAAATTTAAAAAAAATGAGCCATTCTCCAATTGATAAATGATCAAAAGATATGAACAATTTTCAGATGAAGTAATCAAAGCTATCTATAGCCATATAAAATATTCTAATTCACTATTGATTGGAGAAATGTAATTTCTGAATTAAAACAATTGTAAAACAAATTCAAATTAAAGCATACCTATTAGATTGTCTAATAGGACAGAAAAGGTAAATGACCAATGTTGGAGGGGATGTGGGAAAAATGAGACATTAATGTACTGTTGGTGGAGTTGTAAAGTGATTGAACTATTCTGTAAAGCAATTTGAAACTATGGCCAAAGGGCTATAAAACCAGGCATATCCTTTGACTTAGCAATGCCATTATTAGGTCTGTATTTCAAAAGAGATAAAACCAAAAAGTAAAAAAAAACTGTATTTATGAAAATATTTATATCAGCTCTTTTCTGGGGGTAAAGAATTAGAAATTGAGGAGATGCCCATCAGTTGGGAAATGGTTTAACAAGTTGTGGTATGTGATTATGACGGAATATTATTCTTCTCTAAGAAATAATGAACAGGAGGCTCTCAGAAAAACCTGGAAAGATGTGAATGGACTGATGCAAAGTGAAATGTACTGTGTACAAAGTAATGACAATATTGTAAGATGATCAGCTGTGAATGACTTCTGTATTCTCAAAAATACATGGACCCAAGAAAACTGTGAAGAACTTATGATGAAAAATGCTATCCATCCCCAGAGAAAGAAATGATGGTGTCTGAACACAGATTGAATCATACTTTTTTTAAACTTTATTTTTCTTGAGTTTTTTTTTTGTCTGTTTTCTTTTATAACATGACTATTATGGATGTGTTTTGCATGACTACACATGTATAACCCATATCAAATTGCTTGCCTTCTTAATGGGATGGGGGTGGAAAAAGAGGAAGGGAGAGAACTTGGAACTCAAAGTTTTAAAAACAAATATTTTTATATGTAACTGGGGAAAAATTAAATACTTAATAAATAAAAAAAGAAAATTGGTCAAAGGATATCAACAGGCAGTTTTCAGAAGAATAAATCAAAGCTATCAATAGTCACATGAAAAAATGCTATAAACCACTATTGATTAGAGCAGGGGTGGGAAACCTGTGACCTCAAGGCCACACATGGTCCTCTAGGTCCTCAAGTGTGGCCCTTTGACTGAATTCAAACTTCATAGAACAAATCCTAGGTCACATTTTATTCATTAATCCATTCATTTTACATTGTGATATTATTTCAAGTCTTTCAAAAGGCATACTATTTATTATTCAAATCATAAAACTAATATGATTGATAATGGTAATTTTTTCCTTCATTTTGGCTTTAAGCACTAGAGTCATCGATGGAATACTTTTTTAAAAAAGACTCTATTTTACTGTTTAGTTCTCCAGCTGTAAAAAAGAACCCAAAACTCAAGGCTTAGTAATGTTTTGCTAGTAGAAAATTCCTACCCATCAGGGAATGAGATGTTCAGAGGTAACACAAACTACTGGCAATGTAACACCAAGCCCTGCCCCTAGAGTCTGGGATGGCTCCTAAGAGGGGAGGAATCATATGTTTCACTGAACAAATGGCCATATCCAATATGGTCAATGTCGGCAGCTGCAAGTAGCTATTCATGACTGAAACTCATTCAGAAGATCAGAGGGAACAGGTTACCTTCAAATGCTAGGATTCAGAAAGGTATTAATATGTTGACCATGACAAGAGAGTTCCAATCTTGAAGTCAAGAAGACCTGAATTGAAGTCCTGTCTCTTTGACATATACAAGCTATATGATCATGGGCAAATCACTTGTCATCTCAGTGCTCCTGGAGACTCTCTAAGATTATAAGTTATAGATGAGTTACTAATCTATACCAACAGAGGTATTTTCCACACCAAGAGTTTCTTATATTCATTAAATCATAAATCTGGACGTCTAGCTCCCGTTCTGAAATCTAGTGTTGCTTCTCTACATCAAGCTGATCTCCTCAAAATAATTATTATGTGTCTGGACTCAGGAAGGTTAATGGGGTTGGAAAATAAGAGGGAGATAGAGAGAGAGAGAGAGAGAGAGAGAGAGAGAGAGAGAGAGAGAGAGAAAGAGAGACAGAGAGAGACAGAGACAGAGAGACAGAGACAGAAAGACATCAACAGAGAGACAGAGAGAGACAGAGAGACAGGAAGAGAGACAGAGAGAGGGAGACAGATGGAGACAGTCAGAGAGATGCAGAAAGAAAAAAGAGACAGAGAGACAGTCAGACATAGAGACAGAGAGAAAGAAAGATATAGAGACAGAGAAAGAAAGGGAGAGAAGGAGAAAGGAAAGGAAAGAGACAGAGAGAGAGAGAAAGACAGAGACAGAGAGATACAAAAAAAGAGGGAAGCAGAAAGGTACACAGAAAAATAGACAGACAGAGAGACAAAGACAGAGATAAAATCATGCACACACACACACACACACACACACACACACACACACACACACATAAGGAATGCTATCTCTCCAGTAGAATGTTAACTCCTCGAGGACGAGACTGGTTCATTTTTGTCTCTGTGCAATACCTATCAAAGTGCCTTGGGCATAGAGTAGACTCTAAGTATATGCTTATTCTTGAATTTTTCTCTCCTGTTTGCTCTCATTCAGAAAGGGCATTCTCAATCATTTAGTAAATCATATGTTTTGAAATCTGGGCAGACATTTGGAAAATTCACCTGAGACCCAATGACACTTTACAAAAATACCCATGAGGATAACACTCACTTGAATGAACAACACCAAAAACTGCATTAACTATGTCAAGGAAATGTAATGTTTTTTTTTCTTTTTTGAAAATTAACAAGAGAGTCAAAGAACACATGAAAGTCATTAAATGGAGAATACACAAAAACTATAAATGTGCAGAAGATTCTTGGAGGGTAATCAGTGGTATGGGCTTTGTAGCCCTTAAGAGAAGGAGTTAGTGCTTTGAAGTCCATGGATCAAACCCAGTTTCTTGTTTCAGTGGTTTGAACCAAACTGTTTGCTTCCTTGATGAAACATGTCGGTATTGGGCTACTCAGACTCGGCATCCTTCGACTGTACAAATCAAGCAGGCTGTGCAGGGTCCACAGGTATTTCCAGAGGTAGAGGAGGAGGAACATGGATTGCAGGGAAGTCTGGAGACAAATGATTTTAAATTATATTTAAAGGGAAGGAGTTCAGTGGAAATTTGCATAAATGGAAATAAACACATAAATGAGAAATATGGTATTGAATTTCACCTTAGAAATTTTAGGCATAGAAAATACATTTAGAATAAGAGTTGGTTTGAAAATATCCTTTGACTCAGTGATGCCACTACTGGATTTATACTGGAGAGAGTACTGGGCCCTGGAATCAGAAGGACCTGAATTCAAATGTGGCCTCAGACACTCACTAGTCATGTGACCCTAGGCAAGTTACTTAACCGTGTTTGCCTCAGTTTCTCATCTGTAAAATGAGCTGGAGAAGGAAATGGGAAATCACTCCAGCATCTATCTTTTCCAAGAAAACCTACATGGAGTCATGAAGACAGGACTGAAACAGCTCAACAACAACAGCAGCAACAAAGCTCAGGGACAGCCACAAAACATCTACATGTACAAACATATTCACAGAAGCACTATTTGTGATAACAGAAAGCTGAGACAACACATATGCTCAGCAACTGGGGAAAAGTGAAGCAAATTGTGACATGAGAATTTAGTGGAATATTGCTGTTCGGTAAAGAAGAACGTATATGGAGAATTCAGGAAAAGAAAATATGGGAAGACCTGAAAGAAGTGATTAAAAACAAAGAAAACAGAGAGAACAATATACAACATTGTAAATGAATGCAACACAAAGAGGCAGCAAAATTCAGACTAAAGGCAGTGGATAATGTTAGTGCCATGCTATCAAAGCACATTCTTCCTGTCTGTTAATCAATTACAAAGGTGGGATGTTTCCTGTAAAATCAATAACAATCACAACATTGGGGGTTTTGTTTAAAAATTTTTGGCTTGTATTTGTATCCCCAGTTCTTAGAATAGTGCCTGACAAATATGCTCCTAGCAAATGCTTTATATATCTCCACTCTCTTCAATTTCTCTGTCTGTGTCTGTCTCTATTTTCTCCCTCTCTGTCTCCATCTCTCTTTCCCTTATCTATCTATCTATCTATCTATCTATCTATCTATCTATCTATCTATCTCTATGTCTATAGATAGATGTCCTATGAGACAGCCAGGAAGTTTCTCCCCATGGATGTGGGTAAACGGACAGTCTGAGAGCAAGGCTCTTTTGGCAGGATTCACGTCTTTCAATCCCATTGTTATTATTCAGAGACTGGCATCCTGCTGATCTGATTACACCTACTTGCAGTCTTCACTCTCCAGCAGACTCCGGTAGGTGGTGATCTCACACTCAAGCAGTGCCTTCACGTCCAAGAGGACCTGATATTCTTGGTTCTGCCGCTCCAGATCACAGCGTATGTCAGCCAGCTGGGACTCCACATTATCAATCAGGCATTGCATCTGGGCCAGCTGAGTGCTATATTGTGTCTCCGTTTCTGCCTTGGTGCATTCCAGAGATTCTATCTGTAAGGAGAAAGATGTGGTAGAAAAAGTGAGCTAGTTAGCTGAAGTGCCATGTGTCCTGGAATCACCTCCCTGCTTTGGCCTTCAGTTTCCTTTTCTGTAAAATACAGTGATTGGACTAGGTGAATGCTAAGGGACCTTCCGGCTCTGTGATGCTGGGCTTGTAGATTTATAATGGAAATATTCAATATATATATATTGTCTCCCCCTTTATAAACGTGACCTCTTTCAGGGCAGCGACTGTTTTACTTTTCCCTTTGTATTTATAGACCCAACACTTAGTACAGTGTTGTGCACAAAACAGATGCTTAATAAATGCCCTTTTTATTCATTCATTCATTCATACATCCATTCATTGATTCAAGAATCTTTATGTTCTATAGTATATTTGAAACCCGAGAGGTTTTGCTACTTAATATTAACTGATATTTATACAATATTTTAAAGTTTGCGTAGCAGTTTACATGCCTCACCTCATTTAAGTCTCTAATAATCCCGTGAGGCAACACATTTTTACAGATGAAGAAATTGAACCTCAGAGAGGAGGCACTTTCCTCATGGATTATATACCTGATGAGTGTCAGAAATAGGATTCAAACTTAGATCTTCCTGACTCCATGGTCAGTACTGCCTAGTACTCGATTCTTTGGGAGGAAGGCATAAACACTCTCTCTTTTTTTTTTTTAATTACATGACACTCCTGTTTATTCTTTTTCTTCTTTGTGGGAGAGGCCAAATTTAAGTAGTATCATAATACATAAGATTCCCGGGAAAACTTAGAGAGTTTCAAGATTCAAATTCAATCTAACAATTGAGCATATATTTATAAACTCAACAAGGATAAAGCCCTTGCCTTTTTTATAATTTGTATTTTTCTTAGAGCCTAGAATACTTTAAGTCCTCGATCAATGTTTCTTGAATGAATGAACAAAGCACTTACTTTATGCAGAACTCTGCTAGATTCTGAGGAAGATACAAAGTTGAGGTAAGACACGATTTCTACTCTCAAGGAACCTAAAATCTAGTAAAATGAAGAAGTTTTAGAAATTCACTGATGGTGTCCCATCTCTGGAAGGCTTATCCTCCTCATCTCCACTTCCGAACTTTCCTGACTTCCTTCTATCTCTGTTCAAGTTCCACCTTCTGCAAGAAGTCTTGGCAGATTCCTCTTAATACTAGTGGGAGCCTCTAGGTGGTGCCATAGTGCATAGAGTGCTGGGCCTAGACAAGTCAGAAAGACTCATCTTCATGAGATCAAATCCTGTCTCAGATGCTTACTACTTATGTGACCCTGGGCTAGTTGCTTGACCCTATTTGCCTCCGTTTCCTCATCCATAAAATGAGCTGGAGAAGAAAATGGCAAACTACTTCAGTATCTCTGCCAAGAAAAGCCCAAATGGGGTCATGAAGAGTCAGACAGGACTGAACAACAACTTGACATTAGTGTCTTCCCTTTGTTGATTATCTCCAATTTATCCCATATATATCTTGTTTGCATATATTGTTTGCATATTGCATGACTGAACAACAATTAATACTAGTATCTTCCTCTGTTGATTGTCTCCAATTTATGCTGTATGTATCTTATTTGTATGTAGTTGTTTGCATGTTGTCTCTCTTATTAGATTGTAAGCTACTTGAGAGCAGGGATGTCTTTTGTCTTTGTGCCCCAGTGCTTAGTACAGTGTCTGGTACAAAATAGGCACTATTGCATTAGGGATAAGAGTAAAGACAAGAGTAAAATCTGCCAATCTGCCGTAATTCAGTCTTTGACACCAAAATGAAGCTATAGGTTTGGGAATTAGCACCATTGGGTTACTCAGCTCCTTTGATGACTGTCTAATTTCAGGCCTGTTCTGTAGAGTAACCACCCACGCATGTTGTGGAATATGGTTGCTAGGGCCTGCATTGATTTAGGGCCTCTATCAACCTAAGCCATTCCATTGGCCTCATTTGTCCCTCTGCAGGGTATTCATATCTGCATGCCCCATACCAAGCCGTGCTGTGCCTGGAGTTCAATGTCCAGAGCATTTGCTGTCCTCTTCAGCTCAAGAATCTCCGACTGGCAACATTGGAGCTCCTCAGAGCTAGTCAGCTGTTGTTGATTCAATTCCTCTGTCTGAAATACAGGAATGATTTAAGAGGGAGAAAAAATGTAAAGAAGGGAGATGAATATTAAAGCATGTCCTGAAATTTCTGGTTAGTTTCTGGCCTCAAGTACTGACCTGAAGGGTGAACCATTGCTCAACATCTCTGCGGTTATCAGTGACCATGGCTTCATATTGGCACCTCATGTCGTCCAGGACCTTGTTCAGATCAACAGGTGGGGTGGTGTCCAGCTCTATATTGAGTCGGTCCCCAAGCTGTTCCCTCAATAAATTGACTTCCTGAAGTAAAGGAAGTTAGAAAGGTGACAGTGTAGGCAGAGATCATTGGTTTAGCAGCCATCCCATCACACCAGCACTTGTAATTAAAATAGCTGCTTGAGTTACACATGCAGCATGTCTTATTACAACATTCAATTTCCTCTTCCATGGGTTCAGAGATATGTGATTTTCTTTCATACTATATAACAGTAATAATTCCAGATTTTGTTATCTTAATTCCATCAAATAGGATGAGAAAAATGATTCTTTTATAATAATGATAACTCAAATTAATAAAGTACTCAGAAGTTTTTTAAAGCATTCCTTAAACATTATCTCAGTTGATACGCATGACAAAGGTAGAAACTGCTATTATCCTCATTTTATAGATGAGGAAACTGAGACTCAGAGTGTTTACATGGCTTGCTCAGGGCCACACAGCTACAGTTTGTCTGAAGTAGGATTAGAATCTAGGTCTTCTTGATTTCAAGTCCAGAGCAGAAGGTAAAGGCTGGCCTTGAGGTCAGGAAAGATCTGGATTCATATCTTGCCTCTAACACTTGAATGACCATAGACAAGTCATGAAATCTGTCTGAGCCTCCGTTTCCTCATCTATAAAATAGAGATAATAATAGTATCTGTTTCTCAGGATTGCTGTGAGGATCAGATGAGCTACTGTTTGTAAAACACTTGACAAATATTAGAGCCATATGTAAATGCTAGTTACTACAGAGAGAAGTAGCCATGGCAGGTCATTCATTATGTCCCCTCTGTGTCTACACAGGGTGGGTCATTACAGCCACAGAACTGAAATGGCAGAATTCAGCCAGATATTGAAACTGCTTCCCCCATGTTATTCTTGATCAGTTAGTTTCTGCATGTGCTCACCATGCATTTTGTGACATTAAATCCATCGCTTTAGTTTGGCCACTCATTCCACTTGGACTGTCCCTCCTCCTTCTCTCCCTTTCCCCATCCCTCTTCTTACTTCATCATGATTTTTCTTGAGACAGAGCAGATCCTCCTTCAAAGATTCCACGTGTGCCTCTAGGTCACATTTGCATAGGGTCAAATCATCTAAGATTTTTCGGAGGCCACTGATGTCGGCCTCTACTAGCTGGCGAAGAGACAGTTCAGTCTCATACCTTTAATAACAAGAGATAAACTTAATTTCATTTAGTTCTTATTCTTCATGATGTGATCTACTCAAAATCACAAAGGTAAGGGGGCAGAGATAGGACTGAAATTCAGGTCCTCTGACTCCAAATGTAGAATCATGGATGGGTAACTTAGTACATAGATACACAACTAATATGTCAGAGGTAGTATAGGTTCTCCGGACTCCAAGGCTGGCCTTTATCCATGCTGGTTCCCTATACAGGCAGGTAGGTGGTGCAGTGGCTAGAGCTCTGGGTGTGGACAGCCTCAGACATTTCATAGCTTCATGACCCTGGGCAAGTCAATTAACAAAGTCACAAAAAACCCCTTTCTGTTTGCCTGTTTCCTCAACTGTAAAATGGGAATAATAACCCTACCGGAGTGGATTGTTGTGAAGATCAAATGAAATAATATTTATAAAGTATGTAGCACAGTGCCTGGCCCATACTAGGTGTTATAGAAATGCTTATTCCCTCCCTTCCCTTGCCCTATCCCATGCCACCAGACTTACTTTGATTTAAAGTCATCTGCTGCCAATTTGAAGTTGTCAATCTGAACAGTTAACCTCGAATTTTCTGCCTTGGTACACAAGATCTGAAAAACAGGAGATGAAATAGTATCAAGGATTTGAAAGGAATTCAAACATCCATTCCTTTAAAAACCACCAGATATTTGGTACTATGGGGCTATGCGGAAGCTGGGGAGGGATGATGGCTCTTTGAGTGTTTCTTGGGAAGTATTTTAGATAAATCTAGGATTCTATGAACAGAATTTCTTTTTTCTCAGAGGTATAAAATTTACATATCTAGGTATTTTACATTTTTAAAATTATATTTTTTTTCTCAGAGGTATAAGATTTACATACCTAGGATCTCAGAGGTATAAAATTTACAGTCATGGAAAGTAGAGATATTAATTTTAAAAACCCTTTCTAGAAAGAAAATACCAATGTTTTAGTGCTGTTGGGTTATTAGAGACAGTGGGTTTGTATAAATATAGTGAAGTAGTTAAGTAAATGGAATGTTTTCTACTTTCTTAGTTGGTCTCCAAACTCTCAGTTCTTTCTTTTTTGAGAAAAAGAGAATAAAGTGAATTTAAAAACAGAAATAAAAGTGAAGAAATTCTGTTCATAGAATCCTAGATTTCTAGCAGGAATGAGTCTTAAAAGACTATCAAGTCCAACTCTCTCATTTTACAGATGAGCTAACTGAGGCACAGAGGGGTTAATTGATTTGCCAAGGGTCACGTAGCTAGTTAAGTGTCTGAGGTGGGCAATTAACTCAGGTTTTCCTGACTTCAAGTCCAAGATTCTAAGTAGCAACAGCAACAGTATAATTTATATTGTGCTTTAAGCTTTGAAAAGTTCTTTATCATGTTATCTCATTTGATCTTCCATACAATGTACTCATACTATTCCAGATTTCCCTTTTAGGAAATATTTTTATACCTCTCTTCCCCACTATCCTCATCTCTCTCCATTAATAAGGTAGTCCCATCATATATCAACGTATCCAAACAGATTTGGGGCAGGGGGTGGGGAAGAAAAATTGGCCAACCAACCTTTTGTTGGAGATTTTCAATTGTGTTGAAGTAACACTGGTAGTCTGGACACACAAGAGGCACTTCTAGCTCACACTGCTCTCGGATTTTGCACTCCAGATCTGCATTCTCTTGTTCCAGGCCTCGGACCCTGTCCAGATAGCAGGCCAGGCGGTCATTCAGGAATTGCATGGTCTCCTTTTCATTGCTGTTGAAGGCTCCTTCCTCACACCAACCACAGCTACCCACAAAGTAAGGGATGTTATAGCTCCCAGGTATGTAGCAAGTTGCTAGGCGACTTGTGGGCCGACAGGACCTGGTGAGGAAGGTTGGAGTTTGGCATCTGGATGCTACCCCAGTACTGGGGAGGCAGGGAATCTCAGTAGAACAGGTTGAAACAGAGGGACAGTCTGATGCCCCAGAACAGGACTCAGGAGTATCACTTTTGGGGACACATTCGGAAGTCATAGTATCAGAAGGGGAAGGCAAGGATCGGCTGCTAGGCTCAAGGTACCCACACTTGGTCCTTTCCTTCCTCATTGAGATTTTTATATAGCCTCTCCAGGGCTGTTGACAGAATGCTCAGGATGTTTGCTTAAGCCCTGTTTATACTAGTTTCCAAAAGAACATTTCATTAGTCTGTTGTGTATTTACAATTGAAGAGTTCCTTGCCTCATTAAAAAGGTCAAGTTCATGTTGTTTGAATAGGTGCTATCAGAGTGTCCTTGTGCCAGTAGGACAATAAAATTGAGCTCTTGGGTATGTGGGAAAAAAAGTGTTTTATATCGAAGTGTCTTTGTCATGGGCATTTGGATTTGAACTAGAAGTTTTTAGAAGCAAAGCAGCAAAAATTCATTATTTTTTCTAGGATAAAAATACAAAATATTAACCCTGGTATTTCAGACCCTTCACGATCTTGCTCTAGTCTACCTTTCCAGGCTTATTTGCATATTACTTCCCTTCATGCATTCTATGTTCCAGATAAATTTTGCCAACTTGGTGTTTCTCTCAATATAGCACTCCATCTCCCATCACCATGTCTTTGTACATAGTGTCCCTCATGCCCAGTGTGTCACCTCCATAAGACCTTTCCTGATCCTTCTCACCCTTGGTTGGCAGTACACTCTTCTCTTGATATTCCTTTGTATCAACTTTTCTAAGTGCATATCCCCTTCCCCACTCCCCTCCCCTTTCAATAATCTCCTTGAAGGGAGGGACTATTTTTGTTTTTGTCTTTGTATTGCTAGACCATACTTGTTGAAAGACTGAATTAATGAATGACTGAATGAATGATATGCCTGTTTTGAATAATCACCCAAGGAATTCCAGAAATTAAAGCTTCAAAGATATGGGAAGGGAAGAGAAAAATCTTGGTCAACAAATGAGCAGGGGCTCTAACTTGTTACAAATAGGAGATGGAAGACATAGTTGTGTACCTTGTAATCTTCTGTGTCTGCATTAAATGACAGTGCAATGTCAAACATTGTTGATGAAGATTTGCAGAAGAATCTTCCAGATTATTACCATTTTTGCTGAGTCGTCCCATCTTACCAACTATAAAAATAACTTTTAATTTTATTAGAAATCTTTTTAATAGCCTCCTGTCCTTAGAGGAAAGAGAAGGCATGCTAAAGGAATGAGGTGTGTTGAGGTGTGCTTGGCTTAGGAAGCATTTCTTTGTGTGATTGGCCTATCACACACTCTGTGCTTGATCTGGAAGGTCAAATTACATCATTGATGACTACCTCCCAGGCTGCTGTCAGGTAACTTTATATATAGGTCATGGCACAAACAGATGGTCAGGAATTTTGCTTTTGTCTGCTGATTTGCCCAAACTGGGCAATTTGCTTTAATTCTCCACATTCCTGCTGTCTCACATAATCAAAGCTTGCCAAAATTGGAAGGGCCCTTAAAGACCATTTAATCTAACCTGCATCTGAATTAGAATCACCCCTATATACCACAATGTGGCCTCATTCTGATGTTCTTTATTATGGTGCAGAGTAGGGGCCATGTTGCTTTTTTTTCCCCCCTAGAACTTTGAACACAATAGACACTTAATATTTGTTGAATTGCTTCTGAGTCAGCTCAGAAAATAAATTTCTTTTTGAGACCCTTCTGAACTCAAGTAGGATTCAGGTTTTTGTACTGTGGAGCCATTCCATAAAGCCATCAGGGCCATTATGGCTGAATCTGTTTTCTGGTATTTACAGAACCCCCATTGGCTGGGGCCCACAGTGAATACCAACAAAATGAGATTAAACATTGTGTAGTGCAGTGTGTGTAAAGGGGACAGAAATGGCAAGAGGAAGTTCTACCTTTCAAGCTTGTATATCATTTTGCCTATTGTATCTCCACATGTTTGTTTGGGGATCCTGTGTCTGGAAGTTTGTGATGAAATAAAATGGGGGGGGGGGCCAAGCCAAGATGGCGGCGTGAAAGCAGTGACTTGCTCTAGTTCTCCCCCAAAACCCCTCCAAATACCCATAAAAAATGGCTCTAAACAAATTCTAAAGCAGCAGAACCCACAAAAAGAGTAAAACAAATTTCCAGCCCAAGACAGCCTGGATGGTTGATCAGAAAGGCATATTGTGGCTGCGCAGGCTGCAGCGAACTTAGAGCAGGCCTCAGAGGACTGAATCACGGGCAGCTGTGGCAGCTTCCAGACTCCTCAATCCATGAACGCCAAAGACAACTTAGAAGGTCAGTGGGAAAACTCTGTTTCTGTGGTGAGAGAGGAGCTAGGTCAGAGCCAGTTCCAGAGCACAGAGCCCAGAGCTCAAGTGCCAGGGCGGCGGCTGCATCCTGAGCTTCCGGCCCACAGACTGAGGGGGAATCAAGTGGCTGATCAGAGGGGGACTGCAGGGATCCCTTTGCTGGTGCTGAGGCAGGAATCTCTTTCTTTGTCTGTGCTTGGATCTGGATCACAGTTCTGGGTGGCGGTCCTGGGGTAAAGAGGAGTGCTGGCATTGTGGAGCTCATAGTGGTGGTGAAGAGGAAACCCTCCTCACAGTTCCAAGAGAGAAAAGACTGCTTGTGGCCGATCACTCAAAGACCAGAGCTCAGGCCAGGAAAAGAGTAAACACCTCGACCTTTACCATACCACCTTGGAAGAACTGAAAATTTACAGGTCCCTAGAAGTACCTCTGAAAACAGCTATACAGACCTCCGAAGCTTGGGATGGTACATTCTCCACATTGGAAGCAGACTTTTACCTTAACAAGTAGTTGCCTGGGATCATGAGCAAACCTTGCAAAAAGAGTCAGACTACATCATCTTACTTTGGTGACAAAGAAGATCAAAACATACAACCAGAAGAAGACAACAAAGTCAAAGCTCCTACATCCAAAGCCTCCAAGAAAATTATGAATCAGACCCAGGCCTTGGAAGAGCTCAAAGGGGATTTTGAGAAGCAAGTAAGAGAAGCAGAGGAAAAATTGGGAAGAGAAATGAGAGTGATGGCAAGAAAATAATGAAAAACAAGCCAACAGCTTGCTAAAGGAGACCCAAAAAAATACTGAAGAAAATAACACCTTAAAAAATAGCCTAACCCAAATGGCAAAAGAGGTCCAAAAAACCAATGAGGAGAAGAATGCTCTAAAAAGCAAAATTGGCTAAATGGAAAAGGAAGTTCAAAAGTACTGAAGAAAATACTTCCTTAAAAATTAGAATAGAGCAATTGGAAGATAGTGACTTTATGAGAAATCATGACACAGTAGAACAAATCCAAAAGAATGAAAAATTAGAAAACAATGTGAAATATCTAATTGGAAAAACAACTGACCTGGAAAATAGATCCAGGAGAGAGAATTTAAAAATTATTGACTATCTGAAAGCCATGATCAAAAAAAGAGCCTAGGCATCATCTTTCAAGAAATTATCAAGGAAAACTGCCTGATATTTTAGAACCAGAGGGCAAAATAGAAATTGAAAGAATCCACCAATCTCCCCTGAAAGAGATCCCCAAAGGAAAACTCCTAGGAATATTGTAGCCAAATTCCAGAGTTCCCAGGTCAAGGAGAAAATATTGCAAGCAGCCAGAAAGAAACAATTCAAGTATGGTGGAAACACAATCAGGATAACACAAGATTTAGCAGCTTCTACATTAAGGGACTGGAGGCATGGAATATAATATCCTGGGGGGCAAAAGAGATAGGACTACAACCAAGAATCACCTACCCAGCAAAACTGAGTATAATCCTTCAGGGGAAAAAATGGTCATTCAGTGAAATAGAGGACTTTCAAGCATTCTTGATGAAAAGACCAGAGCTGAATAGAAAATTTGACTTTCAAATACAAGACTCAAGTGGAACATGAAGAGGTAAACAGGAAAGAGAAATCATAAGAGACTTATTAAGGCTGAACTGTTTACATTCCTGCATGGAAAGATGATATTTATAACTCATGAACCTTTGTCAGTATTAGGGTAGTGTGAGGGGAAAAATTATATGTGTGTATAGATAGATAGATAGATAGATAGATAGATAGATAGATAGATAGATAGATGGCACAGGGTGAGTTGAAGATGAAGGGGTGATATCTGGAGAATAAAATTAAGGGGTGAGAGAGGATTATACTAGAAGAAGAAAGGGAGAGGTAGAATGGGGTACATTATCTTGCACAAAACAGACAAGAAAAGGTTCTTACAGTGGAGGGGAAACAGGGGAAGGTGAGAGGAAATGAGGGAATCTTATTCTCATAGGATTTGGCTTAAGGAGGGAATAACATACACATTCAATTGGGTATGGAAATCTGTCTTACCCTACAGGAAAATAGGGGAGGAAGGGGACAAGAGAGCAGGGGGATGATAGAGAGAAGGGCAGATTGGGAAAGGGGTAATCAGAAGGAAGTACTTCTGAGGAGGGACAGGGTCAAAAGAAAGAATAGAATAAATGGGGGGCAGGATAGGATTAAGGGAAATAGAGTTAATTTGTCACAACATGTCTACTATGGAAGTGTTTTGCATAGCTGCACATGTATGGCCTATATTGACTTGCTTGCCTTTTCAATGAGGGTGGGTGGGGTGGGAGGAAGGGAGAAAATTTGGAACCCAAAGTTTTAAAAACACATGTTTAAAAAAATATTTCCACATGCAACTGGGAAATAAGAAATACAGGAAATGAGGTACAGAAATCTATCCTGCCCTACAGGAAAAGAGAAGGGGAAGGGGATAAGAGAAGTAGGGGGAGAGATAGAAGGGAGGGCAGACTAGAGGAAGGGGTATTCAGAATGCATACCATCTTGGGGTGGGAAGAGGGGAAAGATGGGGTGAAAATATGGAATTCAAAATCTTGTGGAAGTAAATGTTGAAAACTAAAAATAAATAAATTTACAAAAAAAAAAGGAAATAAAATGGAGGGACTCAGCTTGCCACTGTAGAATGTGCTTAAGTATTCTCTGACTGTTTCTAGCCTGCTTACTGTATGGTGAACACACACACACACACACACACACACACACACACACACACACTTTTTATTGTGTGCTGAGCCAGAAGTTGGTGC